CGAGACTTATGAATGAGGCCCTTTTAATAAAGCTAGGGTGGACTCTGCTCACTAAGCCGAATACGTTGTGGGTTCGGGTGATGTGTGCGAAATAGAAATTGCGCCCGACCGAGATGGCTAGCAATTTCATATTTCCTAAAGGGTCGGTTTGTCTAAAAGCTTTGGCAAAAGCTTGGCCGCATGTCAGGAGGGGTGCTCGGTGGGCCCTGGGAAATGGATTTCTCGCGCGATTCTGGTTGGATGTGTGGCTCAACGTGCCGAACCCCTTGATTAACGTGGTTACTGGAAGTGTACCGGCGGAGCAGATTCACGCCCCGGTGGCAGAGTACGTCACAGAGGCAGGTGATTGGTGTTGGGCGAAGTTCGAGGATCTATTGCCTGCAACAACTCTACTGCTAATTGCTGCTGTTATGCCACCGAGACCCTCAGCGCGGCCCGACCGTTTGGTCTGGGGCTATACGCCGAATGGCACTTTTACGACGAAGTCGGCTTACGAAGCCTTGACGCGGATGGCCAAGGATCACGCCCGTCCACTGTGGCAAGCCATTTGGAGGGCGCCGGTGGCCCAACGCGTGCGTCAGTTCTTGTGGCTGGCGAGCCGGGACCGCCTGTTCACCAACATGGAACGGGTTAGGCGACACATGGCTGGGGACGTGGCGTGCTACCTTTGTGGGCAGCCGGAGTCGACGTCCCACGTATTAAGGGATTGTCCTCATGCGCGTCGCGTTTGGACTGGGATCTGGGAGCGAGACAAGTGCTAGTGGAAATGGATAATAGTAGTGTCGTCGATATGGTGAAGGGGACTGAGGATAGCTTTGGTCTTCATGAAAGCATTATTCAGGCAATACGTGATTTGTTCAGGCTGGAATGGTGTGTTCAGTTGTCTCATATCTATCGAGAAGGGAATGTCTCGGCCGATACGTTAGCTTCGCTAGCTGTTGAGATCCCTGTTGGTTATCAGCGTCTGCTTAACCCGCCGAGTGAAATTGGCCATTGTCTGGAACATGATATCGTAGGCGTGGCCTACCCACGTCGTGT